TGTTGCCTACGAGCCGCTCAAACTAACTGAAATGGAAGTAGAGGAGGAGGTGCGAGTGATGTCCTCACCCACCACCCGTGCACAAAAACCGCCGTCGCCAGCTCCAGTTACCGAGCCGCAACTGGTGCCTTCCATGTCGCCCGAGCGCGTGAAGAAGGAAGTGGAGGTGCTGAAGACCTACCAGGCGGAGCTGTCACCACCATCAGGTAGTAGTCTTATCAAAGAAAGCCGTGTCGGACCCGACAGCATTCCTCGCAGTCTTCTTACACGTATACATCTTCTTACCTTTCTGTGTTTGTAGAAGAGCTCCTTTCAAAGTTCCAGGAAGGCGAATTGATGGCCACAGAGGAGGTACCACCGACTGTCGCGGATGGAACACGTTAGTGCCACTTTCATTTCACTTTTTTACTGACTATAGTATATTATAACGCAACAGCAGGCAAATTGGATCACGCATTTCGTTACTTCATAAAATTGATAAGGATGACTCGTATGGCTGCCACGCCCACTTAAAGTGGTTTGTCGTGGGATACATTTCAGGAAGGCTAGAAACTCCCATGTCTTAACTCTACAGCTAATCCTAAACTAAACTGTAACCGTAATCCCAACCCTAGCTCTACCCTAAACTTAAGCCCTACAGTTAACACGAGCCCAAACTTTAACTCTTAACATGATCCTGACCCTAATCCCAACCCTAATCTTAAACCTAACCCTAAACTCCACACTAACTCTCACCTTAATCCTGCATACAATTTGGCGCAAAGCCACATATATTTTGGACGATCCCTGTTCCCATGTCCTGTTTAGGCGGCCATACAAGTCATCCTTATCAAGGCTTCTTTCGCAGCTTTCACTTGCTGAAATACGTAAATCTTTGAAACAAATTGTCCTGGTGTTTGAAGAAATGACAGTCAGGTTGCCGATGTTGGGCAATTCCCAGGTTGCAGCTCACTCGACGGGACTCAGTCATATTTTCAAGCTCAACGAGGCCAAACTCCTCGCAAGAGGAGGCAACCGCGCGAGCCGCGAGCTGCTCGGTTTATGGTATTGAGGCCCACAGTCCATCAACAAGTGCACTGACTTGCCGTTCCCATATTATGTACTGAGATTTTCCCTGAGTAGGGGAATCAGGAAGGACGCAGGCCACCGACAATTTCGATGACAGCGAACCAAACTGTCACGTAATAATCACGCCAATATCCAACACGGATGGTGATGATGAAGTCGCGGCTATTAAAGACTCGGACGCGAACTGCTAAGTCATCATCCCATCAATCACGACCCCCAGCGGTGATCACGCGAGCTATAGTAAACACGTGGTCGCGTGACCAATACGGACTATAAATACTGTGTACCCCGTGCCTTCTTCACACTTCTCTGCGATTTTATCTGATGATGGGTTCGAGCGGGAATCCGAAACGTCAGGCCAATAAACTTCTTGTTCCAGCGATCACATCTTCTCCTTCTGAACTGCCTCATGGAACTCGCCTGTTCGCTTCTATCAACTTGTCAAACAGTTCCATCCTACACGGTTGACTTCAGGACTATAACTTCGGTCCATGTTTACACCTTACATGTGATGACCTTGAGGCAGCATCGGTTTCGGGAACTGTTTTCTTATCTGAGCAGAATAAGGCTATTGTGCAGGACGTCTCTGGGATGTCAGCTCTCGTCACACCTTAGGCCTACTTAACTCCTTACAAACTCCTTGAAACTGGAACCTTAACCTCGATCTCAGAGTGGGTTCGGCCAACTTCCACAGGGTCCTCATTTCGTTACTTCTTCATCGTACACAGTGTTGAAAAAACTTCTCTACCTGACTCTGACTCTTGTAACCTCACCAACCGATCCACGCAAATCCGTTTCGACAGTTTTTTTGATTTTCTGCTTTCAGCTGCACGCTCATCTCATCGGTTTGTAAGACTCCAGTATTTGAATTATACCTTCAGCAACCAAGTTATGATCAAATAACTGCCCGAAGTCCCACACATCTTTAACAGATGTTAGTCCAACTCCACAGTCCTAGTCAAAAGCATACTGGAATTGTTTGTTTTTCTGTTAGTTTTTGATGACAACAGACAACCTGGAAAACAAAACAAACTGGAAGGAAAAATGTTCAGGTTGTACTTTGAAGACGTACCAGAAAAGATCAGAAACACTGGAATAACCCTTTCATTTTTTTTGCCGCCGTCCGAAAGCCATGCCCCGATCCTGTGCTATTAGAAAGACGCGCAATCTGAATATGCGTTGCATCTGTCTAAAGCTTCATGCGCCAGCACCCAGTTACGCGTCCGCCCCTTATCAGCTTATCAACCTCTGACTCGATTGTAGAGCAGCATACGCGTGTTGTGTAACTCCATGCTAGAACCAACTCAGGCAGTGGCATAGCGACGGAAAATTAATAACCAGCTGGTTTGTCTACAAAGGCAGGGGTGACCTGGGATTATTGATTTCAGAAGACGAGTTTGGCGAGTGTACGTATACTTTTGATAAATTCTCGTCAGGCCTGTACATTCTCTGATGGGAATTATTGAATTCGGCAAATCGGCTGTATTTTTTCCGACCTGGCACGATTGCAGGCCAGTTTTCAACGAACACACTAATTTATGAGCTAGTTTACTTGGCTATTTGTTCTACTGCAAATTATAATGTCACCTCAAGAGGTACTCGAAGAACACTTTCAGCTTTCTAAAATAACCGTCTTTTTACTATAGACTTTATTTGATGCTATAATCCTTTTCAGCACGCGTGGTACCCACCGAAGATGTGCCAATGCTTGTGCCATCAAAGATTGAAACTACCCTTTCTGCTGCTAAACCTCGAGACGATTTGGGTCTGCTCCCGCCAAGAGCCGATGACAGCCGCCCAGTTGAAAATGATTTTATTGTCGCCTCCGAGGGTCTTAAACGGAAGGAGATGGGACCGGTTGGACATGCCGATTCTTATGCTCGCCAGATTGCTGCCGAGGAGCTAGCTGACACCCTCGGGCTGGACGCTGATGTGGAGCTTGTATCAGTGCTGAAACAGTCTGGTGAGTTTTCTAATTCCGAGTCAACGGCACTTTGCTTGGTAGTCAGCTCTTCTGATAAATACTACGAGTGAAGAGTACCTTTTGCTCGTGTTACGGGTCACCGTAACAGATAGTGGAAGAGGAGTTTACATTAGGGTTCCTTATTTACCGGGAGCCTCAGTCTTGAATTTGGATTTCGGACAAGCAGCACATCTTTGCATATTAGCGAAAACTGCGCACTTACGGACTTTAGAGACTACGGGAAGAAAACTGAATGTAAATCCCAGTATCCAATGCTATGGGTTCATTCCTGATTAAATTGCATGCTTGCGTACCATTCATTCAGCACTGGACTGCGACCTTGGAGAGCATCCACAACCACAGGTATCACAACATGGTCCACCGTAGCATGATGAGCTTCATTTGAATGTTTTTGGTAAAGGCGGTACCGAAACCATCTTCTAGATCGTTTGCTAGGGGTAGTCTACCCTATCACTCTGACGAGTTAGGACCTGACCACAAGGCAGTAATGGTAAGCGAACCCAATTAATAACGGTCCACAGTCGCTATGTCAAAATGCCGTCTTCGGACTTTGAGGTATTTTATGAGACAGCCAGTTGAATACTCCTCAGTCCTCTGCTTCCTGTTAGCCCTGCGGCCCATGGTCCGCGACAGCTTATCAGACAGGAGTAAAATTCATTTAGTTTGCAAGTAGCATGCAGTGGGGGCTATTCCAATAGTAATCTCAGTACATCTCCTTGGTAGCCAGATCTGTACATTAATCTCTACTGAGATTCTGCTTCATGTAGCAACAGCGGTCTTTAGGACAACTGAACTTTTCTTTTATGCTTAAGAGTGCATTAATCGTCGTCTGTGGACACAGCCTGTGCATACAGTTTCGCAGGAACCTTAAAAAAAGAGGGGAGGGGAAGTTGTACAAGTGTATGTTTTCATCATCTTTCTCAATCTGTCCTCCCTTCCCCGTCATTCAGAGGAGCCAAGTGCAGAAGCAGTCGTCATCGAAGATGAAATTAAAGCCGTCAAGTTAGAACCCAAGGCTCAAGTCAGTCCGATTTTACTGCGTCCAACGGTCTCCGAACAGCCCTCGCCCGAATGTATCCGGATCTTGGATGGTCTGCACGTCGACACAGGTAAGCATGTTTCTCCACCTTCCTTACCTTGGATCTCGACAATTATATAAACAGATTTTATGGATCAAAACAGACTGGTAGAATACATAATTTTCACAGAGCGAGGAAGTGAGTGTCACTAAAAAAAAAATATAAATATTTATCAGGTTATAAAATAGGTTTGCCTTCCAAGTTGGAAAGACTTATATCACGGATTGAGGCGAATTTCAACATTCCTGGTATATGCAAAAGTGGGGAAAAAGAATGCTGTTTGATCTTTGGAACCATATAGTTAGTTGTCTGAGCTTTTAATCTCGTGTAAGAGTTTATCTTCAAAAATAAAAGTGGCACAATAACAGGCCACAGTTATAGGGGTATAAGCCAGTCCAATATCAATGACTCTCGGCTGAAGGTTCTGTACGCTGGCGCCCGATCGATCGATACCCCAACTGACTTAGTATTCATGTGAGGCCAGAAGCAAGACAAGCCGCGAAATGATTGAAGGCTGAGTCTCAGAGGAGAAGTCAATAAATCGGTGTATCGGTCTGGCGCCGGCTTGTAGAGTCCTGTGCAGGCTCCTTCACACTGACTTCACCGATGTGTGCTTGGCCCATACCCGGTATAACTGTTTATTGTCCTGTTGCCGTACGTTTTTTTGGATAAATTCTCGTCAGGCCCCTACATTTATATGGTAATTAACTAAATAAACTATGCGGGTTGGTAGAAC